AAAAAAGAAAGAAAGATCTCACCGCCATTCATCCATTCATCACGGATCCTATGTGCCCTTTCATGATAATGAAGTTGGGGCGTCACGATTCAAATGCAGGTTTTGTTTGGAAAGCTGTTATAGCGATGTCTCAATCCACCTCTACAAAATGGTGAGATTGTGCACTTTTTGTGGCCGATCGGCTTTCAAGCTCCAATGCACTTAAGGGAGATGCTCGCTCCTTTAAATACTTCCTTTGACAGTTTAAGAAACCATAAAAGATTTGTTGAAGTCGTTCGCAGGGTTTATTTGCTTAGGGACCAGGAGGCAAAGACAAATGTGCGCCTTTCGGCTTTGTCAAATAGATTATTGTCACGGGCCGGAAACATAAGAATCTCCAAAATAAAGCATTTTCTACGGGACGATGGCATTTAGTTGGTAGACATTGGATATAGTAGAAGGTCTTTTGAGGGGTGTGACATGATCTTTAGGAGATTGTGTGATTTTGTGCTCGCGCCTTCCCACCTATGCCAATGTTGCGATGGATTATAGGTTTCTTCTATATAAATTTTCGTTAGTGGTGGGGTTTGCATCCCTCCAGTGACACCCTATATAATTCCGTGTGTCCTCTCCAGCCATCTGAGTTGAAGCGACAACCACAGGGACGTGTGCTAGGAATTGATGACGTGATACTCGGTTCGTAAATAATGCATACCGAAAGACCTATGCTGTGACCAATGTGAAAAGGTGCAATTTAACATTGCGTGTGTTTCTGAGAGCTGCTTGAATGTACAACGCCCTAGACGGTTGATGACAGACCAAAGCCACATTTCCAGATTCTTACTCTCAACCTATTTGAAGGCGCTTAGTCTAATGATTGATTATTTTGAATGCTTTTATTATCATCAATTCTGGTCTATTAGACAGTTTTTATTGTTGAAATACCAATTTGGAGGGATACAATTTGATGGGCGTGCATATAGACACTTCAGCAACAGCTCAACACGATATATCTTGCAATAAACCTGATGGTATCATCGTAAATTACAAGAAAAAGTGACGAAAATGATGGATGACAACGATACCGAACAAAACATATCAATTGCAAATAACCCTCTTCCAAACTGAATCTACCAGAGGAAACCGTCAAACATGGGCCATTTGCCCTATTTCATACGGATGTCTGGAACTCTTCAAGCTAGTGAACTCACAAGCAAGAAACAGTCATATCAGCATAGACTCTGCTCCACAAAATAAAACATAGAGTAATCATGTCAATCTCCCACAGCTTGATACTTTTGTCTGTGAGCTTCCCATTGCCCTCTTCCCCGTAGCAATAAAGCGAGAGTGGGGCGCCTGTTGGCCTCAAGTTTTGAAATGCATTGTCTGCGTTCTTGGCCTTAATTTTGAGGTCATTGTGTGGGTGAGTTTGAAGTACTGTTATACTGCGCAACCAAATCTACTCATGCGGCGCTTGGGATTATATGTGGTCTACAAAATGCAGCAGATTCCAGAACATTGCGTAAGGCCATGAGAAGCTTTCTGTAATGACTTTGAAGAATATCCGAATATGATGGGTTCACAAGTGGCACTGCCCATGGTATTATGATTGGCATCCGGGTATGCCGCGTCGCACCGGGAGATCTTCCATTGAGCATACCCAGATTCGAGACTGCCCACACATTCACTTGTTTTTGTTGATTTCGTTTTGTTTTTGTGTTGTGATTGTTGTGTTTTTGTTTTGTTGTTTTTGTTTTTGTTTTGGTTTTGGTTGTGTTTTTGTTTTCGTTGTTTGATCTGGTCCTTTTTACCCGAAAGCACAACGACCACGAGGCTGGTGATATTGCCCACGATCAGGTATCCCCACCCTACGGGCGGGCAAATTACTTTTTGATAACATGTAAATAAAAGATATTCTACAACATCAAAATCCTTACTCATTATATAATGTCAATGGAAGATCTGTATAATTGATAGTATACATAACTTTATATATAAATTCAGCTATTAAACTATCAAACATATAAAAATAAGATCAAAGTTTAGAAATGATGATATGTGAACAGATGTTCTATACTAGCTGGTTCAGTTATGAAATGTAATAGAGGTAACTCTCTACGAAGCATTAATAGTGCCCAGTGTAAACTAGAGAGTTACGGTGAAATCAATTGCTACTTCGTACTAACCACTCATCAGCAGCTCGAGATATTAAAAATATCGTATGGGTATTTATTATAGGACAAGCTGTAAGTGGCGAAGCTGCAGGAGATATCCCTCCTCCGGGGGGTATATTGGACTTATTATTGTTTCCGGTGTTATGTCAGTTTTAATTATATATAAATAATCGGCTTTTAATGATTTACGTATTAATTCTATAAATCTTTAATCACCAATTTTATATTAAATGAAGTTTTGGAGAAGAGTTTGACTTTTTAGGATGAACTTCCCATTTGCTTATACCGAATAGGGTTAATTGAATAGTACAAGCAGACAAATCCGAAGCAGGTGAGTTGATTGATTGAAAAGGATTATATGTCTATCCATCAATAAAATTAGAGTCGCTATTAAAGAGATTACTTCTCTAAAATAACGGTAGATCCACCTATTATATGAAAATAAGCTCATAGTATACATGAACGATGAGGTCTCATTTTTAAGACATGAGCAATTATATAAGATGATATTACTTATAACAATAGCATATCCAGGAGATATATATTCGTTGGCCATATAATATCGGGAGATTTATGTATAGATATAAATACTAATGCTTGTCGTCCAGGTATTATCTCTCCCTTACTAATTAATTTAACATTAGATAGGTTGGAAGATAAGTTAAATATATACATAGATATCTTGAACAACCATTAATGATTCCGAGACTGGCCAATAAATCATGCAAGTGCGCGGCCAGGCCCTGTCTGAGATGATGGACTATATGGCTGATTGGAAGAGACTAGGGCAAAACAAGAGGATCTTGTGGCACCCCATTCTGGGAGGCTGGTTGGAAAAGCGGCGTTATGACTCTTCTCCTATGATTTTGCATTCCTTCAATTCTCCAACCCCATTCTCCAGCCCCATTCTCCAGCCTCATTCTCCAGCCCTCTCCCCCACGTCCTTGCACCCGAATCCGCACCCCATTTCGCACCCCATTTCGCACCCATTTCGCACCTCAGTATCCCAACCCATATCTCCCCATATCTCCCCATATCTCCCCATATCTCCCCACTGTCCCAACATGGATCGTCATGCCTCCCCAACATCCCGGCATATATCGCCTCCTTCCTGCCGCCATTCCCGTCTTGCCATCTCCCCCTACTTTTGCCGCCCATTGCGCCGTCATTTTCCCCGGCCTGGCCAGCCGCCCGCCGGCTGTGCCCCACCGCTATTTTTGGCCCCGCGCACGTGACCCTCTGCGAGCGCCAGGGCCAAACGTAGCCTCAGCCTTCCATACTACTATCTTAATCCACCCAGCGTGCCGTGAAACACCCCGCCTCCACCAAAAAAACCCCCCGAAAAGGGCACATTGTCACCAGGCCGCCGCCAACTCCCCGCACGTGCTGCAGCCGCCCGCGTTTCCCCGCCATGTCCCACCACTCGGCGGATCCGTTCGCGGACCACAACAACCTCATAGACTTGGGCTTGAGCCTGTACCCCAGCCAGCAATCCAGCGCCCACACAGACACAAACACGGCCCACGCAGACACAAACACGGCCTACGCGTACACAAACACGTCCCGCGCCCACACACGCGCGGCCGGCGCGTCCATGCCCATGTACGAACCGCCGGCACCGCCCGCCAACCCGTTCGACGACTTCCTCGAGACCTCCGACGAGGAGGAAAACAGCCGGCTTCACGCCGCCAGCGCGGCTGCAGCCGGCGGCCCGCGGCACATGCTCGGCACGCCCCACGCGCCCGCGCCGGCGCCGAAAAAGGGCCTTTTCGCCAGCCTCAAGCTGAACTTGGCCGCCGCCGACGGCGGCTCGTACATGGGCATGGACGCCGGGGCCGCGGGCGGCGAAACGGAGCGCCCAGGCGCGCCGGACTTCGACATCCGGCGCATCGCCGCCAGAATCAGGCATCCGTTCGCCAAGAAAACGGCAGACAGCACCGCGGCGCTGGGGCCCCGCCACATCCACGTGTTGGACGCGGCGGCCAACGCCAGCCGCGGCTTCTACGGCAACCACATCTCCACGACCAAGTACAACGTCGCCACGTTCTTGCCCAAGTTCATGTTCGAGCAGTTCAGCAAGTACGCCAACTTGTTTTTCCTCTTCACGTCGGTCATCCAGCAGGTGCCGGGCGTGTCGCCCACCAACCGCTACACCACCATCGGCACGTTGCTCGTGGTGTTGCTCGTGTCCGGCGTCAAGGAGGTCCTGGAGGACGTCAAGCGCGCCAGCGCCGACCGCGAGCTCAACAACACGCAGGTGCTCGTGCTCGACGCGGAGGCCGGCCGCTTCCGCGTGCAGAAGTGGGTCTCCGTGCGCGTCGGCGACGTGGTGCGCGTGAACAACGAGGAGCCGTTCCCCGCGGACTTGCTCCTCCTCAGCTCGTCCGAGCCCGAGGGCTTGTGCTACATAGAAACGGCCAACTTGGACGGCGAGACCAACCTCAAGATCAAGCAGGCGTTGCCGGAAACGGCGCTGTTGGTGAGCCCGCCGTCCGTGGTGGCCGGCATGGCGCGCTGCGAGCTTCTCTCCGAGCAGCCCAACTCGTCCTTGTACACGTACGAGGGCACGTTGCTCCACTTCCGCGCCTCGGGCAGGCTCGCGCTCTCGCCGCAGCAGCTCTTGTTGCGCGGCGCCACGCTCCGCAACACCCAGTGGGTCCACGGCGTGGTGGTGTTCACGGGCCACGAGACCAAGTTGATGCGCAACGCCACCGCGGCGCCCATCAAGCGCACGGACGTCGAGCGCGTCATCAACTTGCAGACGCTCGCGCTCTTCGGCATCTTGATCTTGCTCTCCGTGGTGTCCAGCGTGGGTAACGTGGTCAAGACGTCCGTGGACGCGGACGACTTGTCCTACTTGTACTTGGAGGGCACCAACTTGGCCAAGCTCTTCTTCCGCGACATCTTGACCTACTGGATCTTGTTCTCCAACTTGGTGCCCATCTCCTTGTTTGTCAGCGTGGAGATCATCAAGTACTACCAGGCCTACATGATCGGCAGCGACTTGGACATGTACCACGCGGACTCCGACACGCCCACGGGCGTGCGCACCTCGTCCTTGGTGGAGGAGCTCGGCCAGATCGACTACATCTTCTCCGACAAGACCGGCACGCTCACGCGCAACGTCATGGAGTTCAAGTGCTGCTCCATCGGCGGCAAGTGCTACGCAGAAGAGATTCCGGAGGACGCGCACGCGCAGGTGGTGGACGGCGTCGAGACGGGCTTCTACAGCTTCGACGACTTGCAGAGGCACTTGGCCGACTTGTCCCTGCAGCAGTCCGCCATCATCAGCGAGTTCTTCTCTTTGTTGAGCACGTGCCACACCGTCATTCCAGAGCTCAACGACGTCTCGGGCGCCATCAAGTACCAGGCCGCGTCTCCGGACGAGGGCGCTTTGGTGCAGGGTGCGGCGGACATGGGCTTCAGGTTCACCATCCGCCGGCCTCGCGGCGTGACCATCGAGACGGGCCCGGCCGCCACCGCCTCCGAGTATGAGCTCTTGAACATCTGTGAGTTCAACTCCACGCGGAAGAGAATGTCTGCCATCTTCAGGTGCCCGGACGGCGTCATCCGCTTGTTCTGCAAGGGCGCCGACACCGTGATCTTGGAGCGTCTCTCCACCGCGGATCCACAGCCTTTTGTCGACGCCACTATCAGACACTTGGAGGAGTTTGCCTCCGAGGGCTTGAGAACTTTGTGCATCGCCTCCAGAATCGTCTCGGAAAAGGAATATGCCTCCTGGGCCCACACATTCCACGAAGCATCCACGTCCTTGGATGACAGAAGCGACAAGCTTGACGCCGCGGCTGAGCTCATCGAGAAAGACTTGTTCCTTCTCGGCGCAACGGCCATCGAAGACAAGCTCCAGGACGGGGTGCCTGAAACCATCCACACGCTCCAAAACGCTGGCATCAAAATCTGGGTTTTGACGGGGGACAGGCAAGAAACGGCAATCAACATCGGAATGTCATGTAAGCTTCTCACGGAGGACATGAATCTCTTGATCATCAATGAAGAGACCAAAGCTGATACCAGAAGAAACTTGGAAGAGAAGTTGGAGGCGATATACGAGCACCGAAACGACGTGGCAGAGTCTGTTCTAGACTCCTCGCTCGCGCTCATCATCGACGGCCATTCCTTGGGTTTCGCTTTGGAACCCGACTTGGAAGACATCTTCATCGACCTTGCCACGAGGGTGCGTGCTGTCATTTGCTGCAGGGTTTCTCCCTTGCAAAAAGCGCTCGTCGTGAAAATGGTCAAAAGGAAGAAGAACAAGTCCTTGCTCTTGGCCATCGGAGATGGTGCAAACGATGTTTCCATGATCCAGGCTGCGCATGTCGGAGTAGGCATCAGCGGTATGGAGGGCATGCAGGCCGCAAGAAGTGCCGACGTCTCCATCGGACAGTTCAAGTACTTGAAAAAGCTATTGTTGGTGCATGGCGCATGGTCGTACCAACGTATCTCCAATGCGATCTTGTACTCCTTCTACAAGAACGTCTGCTTGTACATGACGCAGTTTTGGTTTGTGTTCAACAACGCTTTCTCGGGACAGTCTCTCATCGAGTCGTGGACATTGACGTTCTACAATGTGCTCTTCACGGTGTTTCCGCCGTTTATCATGGGTGTCTTTGACCAGTTCGTTAGCGCACGTCTCCTTGACAAATACCCTCAGTTGTATCAGCTAGGATTGCAAAGAAAGTTTTTCAACGTGACTATCTTCTGGGGCTGGATTGTCAATGGGTTCTTCCACTCAGCGATCATCTACGTCTGCATGATGTCAATTGACAAATACTTCAACTATCTACCAAACGGCGCGGTCGCTGACAATTGGTCGTGGGGAACTATGATCTACACCACGTGCACGCTCACCGCGTTAGGAAAGGCCGCTCTTACAGTGACCATGTGGACGAAGTTCACCGTTCTTGCTATTCCCGGATCGTTCATCTTGTGGTTGGTGTGGTTTCCCGCGTATGCCACCATTGCTCCCCTTATTAACGTGTCCACAGAGTACGAGGGTGTATTGGCTCATACGTACCCGAGCTTGGTGTTCTGGGCTGCTATTTTTGGTGTTTCCATCTTGTGCTTGATAAGAGATTTTGCGTGGAAGTTCTACAAGAGAATCCACAGCCCCGAAAGCTACCACTACGTGCAAGAAATCCAAAAGTACAACATCCAGGACTACAGGCCAAGAATGGAGCAGTTCGAAAAGGCCATCAGGAAAGTTCGGCAGGTGCAGAGAATCAAGAAACAGAGGGGATTTGCTTTCTCGCAAGTGGACGATCAGAATTTGGAGAAGATTGTCAGGTTGTACGACACGACAAAGAAGAGAGGTGCATACGGGGAGTTGAGCGAGAGTCATAGAGACTAAGGAAGAAACCCTACAAACGAACCTCCTAGGGAAGAGAAAAATTACCGACCCAGGAGGAACCATATGGTCCTGGAGTAAGCTTAGACACTGAAATAGTACGCGTACTACTGTTTGACTCCTGCATTCTTGGGCCGCGCACATCCGCACCATCACAGAAATTTTGAACCTCTCAAGAAGATCACTGAAAGAGCGTGCCATGAGCGAGGAAAAAACAGACAAGCCAGAAAAGCAGGTCAAGATCGAGGAGCCGGCTTCTGAGCCCGGAAAGATCTCGAACAAAGAGCTAAAAGAATTGAAAAAAAAGGAAAAGGCCGCCAAGAGAGCCGCCCAGAAGGAAGCGGCGGGCATCACGCCCGAGCAGCAGGAACAAATGGCCCAGCAGAAGATCGAGAAGAAGGCTCTGCAGGTCACAAACACAAACTTGAAGAAGCAGTTGTCTCAGGCCGTTTACAAAGACGACGCCAAGAAAATCCCGGTGCTTTTCAGCCACTTGGAGACGCGGGAGCAGCGGAATGCCTCGTCGCCAACCGTGTCGCACATTGTGCACCCTGCCATTTTGACGTTGAGCTTGAATGTGGCAAGCCACAAAATCGTCGGCTCGACGGCGCGCTTGCGTGAGATGTTGAAGGTGTTCAAAGCAGTGATCCTCGACTACAAAACCCCGGAAAACACCACCTTGACGCGGCACTTGACGGGGCACCTCTCCCACCAAATCGAATACTTGAAAAGCGCACGTCCCTTGTCGTTATCTATGGGTAACGGTATCCGGTGGTTGAAGCAAGAAATCTCGCTCATCTCTATCGACACCAGCGAGCACGACGCCAAGGAAATCTTGTTGCAGAGAATCGACGACTTCATCCGCGAGCGCATCGAGCTTTCGGACCAGCTCATTATCGAAAACTCTTCGCATCACATCACCGACGGCTGTACGGTGTTGACGTTCGGCCACTCGGAGGTCTTGCTCCAGCTCTTCCAGCATTGCGTAGTGGAAGAGGGAAAGTCGTTCAACTTGGTCATCGTGGACCTGCATCCTTTGTTCGAAGGCAAGAAGCTCTTGGAGGGTCTTGTGGACACGAAGATCAAGGCCCAGGAAGACGAGGACCCGCCGACGCCCCACTCACGCCGCACTCTCCCCACCCCTTCGATAACTCAAGAAAAACTCAAAATTACATACGTGTTGATCAACCTGTTATCGTCCACGGTATTGGAGGATGTGGACCTAGCCTTTTTGGGCGCCCATGCGATGCTCTCGAACGGGTACTTGTACTCGCGCGTGGGCACGGCGATGATAGCCATGATGTGCAACCGCAGAAACATCTCTGTGTTGACGTGCTGCGAGTCTATCAAGTTTTCGGACCGTGTGCAGTTGGATTCTGTGACCACAAACGAGTTGGCGGATCCAGACGACCTTCTTACAAACATCGACTCGAAACATCCGCCTCAGAGAAAGTCAATGGCCTTGGAGCAATTCATCAAACTGAAGGAGGAGCTGAAGAAAGATGATGCGCCTGTACGGAAACAGGGCAACAGCGACAAAAAAGATGCGGCTGCCGACGACTCCAAGCTGGAGCCGTTGAAGAACTGGAAGTCCATTGCGCAGCTCAATATCTTGAACATCATGTACGACTTGACTCCGCCGCATTACATCAACAAGGTCGTTACGGAGTTTGGTGCCTTGCCGCCATCGTCGGTTCCAGTGATTTTGAGAGAGTACAAAAATGCGTAGAAAGGGGGTTGCGGGCCACTACAAGACATGGGTATCCGAGACTCGTGAGATTTGCCCCCTGAAGATAGGTGGGGCTGGACGGCGCTGATACGGAAGTTTGGAGATACGTCTCTTGCTTCGGAAATGAGGCTGAGTGCAAAAGAGAGTCGTTGCGCCTTGGGGACACAACTGTTATCGCTCAGATACATCGATATTACCCATGGACCCATGGAAGCATTCACAAGTATGATAATACAGGTACAGCTTCCCGACACTCAATGGACTTCGTGCTGCGAGCTGGATTTGCGCGTAAGCTATTGTTGGGCGTCACTTCTTCAGCTAGATGGCGGCGGCAGGATTGCTCGTTAAAGGTTCGCTTGCCTGTTCCAGTGACATGATCTGTTGATGTCCATACCATACTTGTTCCTCGGACACAGACCTGGAAGATGTGTTTATCGAGGCAAAGCCAGCTTTACGCCAGCTCTCGAACCAGTATATATGGAACAGAAACACTCGGGGTGTTATGCAGACAGGCCTGCACCAGTGGCTCCAGAATGAAACATGCTTAATCAGAACTCTTATTGGATTCGCAGTATACGTATTCTTCACGGGCAAACGAAAACAATGTCGACAGCCGTTGAGTGGTCAATTCCTCCCTTGGAGAAGCACAAACAAATCAGCAGCTGCCGTGTTCGCAAGGCCAAAAAAAGGCCCCGACCATGCACGGCAATGATCTCCAGCATCCATTCTGGACCTGGCCAAAGTAGCCGATCACCAATTGACATCAGCCAACCGCATCTACCTGCTGCGCGGCGTCCAGCATTCTACACATGTTTAAAGAGTCAGAATGTTATTAGTTATTTGAGTACGAACCGGCCAACGACAATGGGCCGCAGCAAACGAAACACCGCTTACAAGCTCAACACAGACAAGATGGTACCAACCAAAGAGATACCAGTGGTGGTGGTCAAAGTGACCAACTCACCCAAGATGTCAGAGACCAAGTCGGAAACGGCTTCCTCAACACCCAGGACGGTTCTGACCTCGTTTTGGATCTCCTCTCTCTTGAGCAAAGAAAGACCGGAGGAAGACAAGAGCGAAGAAGAGTCGACACCCATGGCAGAGGCAATGGCCTCAACGTCCACGACGATCTTGCCGAGCAAGCTCTCAACACTGGAGGCAATCAGGGCAACAGTGCCGGTCAACTCGTCGACAGAGTCTCTCTTCTCAACAGAAGCGACAGGAGAGGCGACAACAAGGGAAGCAAGGCCGAGAGTGATGACGTTAGAGAATTTCATGGTGAGGAGTAGAGTGTTGATGATGGAAAAAAGAGAGAGAGGTGGCGGGGGATGGAGCTGTTTATATAGGCGGATTTGGGCTCCGGGCTCGGTGGAGTAGGTGTGCTTCACGTGTTTACGTTTTGTTTGCTTCAGTCTTGAGCCCGTATCTGGGTCGGGTTTTTTGCATCCACCGGGGCAACGCGCCCGGTGGTATATGCACAGTCTACACGTTTTGCCGTCCGTGTGCAGGATGTCGTATTTAGTCTCGGGCGCAAGCCGGCGTTTAGGATGCAGTTCCAGGCCCCTGCTCGGGCCGCTCCACCAGCTACGAATCCACACCTGGACAGGCGTTTCGGATTTCGTGGTAGGGCTGTGTCTGTTTCTGGCGCACAAAGCAAACAGGCGTCCGTGGGGGACCAAGTCTAGTCACGTGCACGCGCCCCACCTCGGCTGAACCTGCCGTCCTGCACAGAAGCGCGCAAAACGAACAAGCCGGCCATACGTTTTTAGCCGTTGCCGGACTTAGTCTTTTTATTGGCTTTGAAAGCCCTCGTGGTTGCTATTGGCGAAGCTTAGAAGTGGAATTTGGCGCTAGCTATGCAGCTTCTGGTTCGACAGCCTCTTCTGGAATGCCACTCCCTTCCCGGGAAGAGACTGGGATTGGGACCCGAAATATGAGCCGGTTGGCCCGGCAAGAGACGTCACAACATGCATCACGAGATTTTTTTTTGTGTTGTTCTTTCTCTTGATTGACCGCGCCAAACGCCGGCCACCGGGGCTTAAAGCCTCCAGAAATCAACGTTTAGGGCAGACTCGCAAATAAGCTCTAGATATCCTCGTGCATGAGTGTGCATCCTACGCACATCTCCACGGAACGCCGGAATATTTAGACAATTTTAACCAATAGTTATGTGGAGTGAGAGTAGGTCATA